TATTATTATTATGTGAATCTGACACTACAAGCCCACATAGCCCCACCAGAAGTAGAATGACCCCTCCTGGGTTTTATTGACTACATGGAAGAACTTGTCAAAATTGGAATCCAACTTATGCCACACCCAAATCCACGTAACCCTCATCATTGTCCAGCCACCGGCACTCTACCAAAAGTCGCAGAGCCCCCACCGACCCCCTCTGGCTCCTTCATAATTCAAAATAGTCAAACCTGTTTGGGTTCAAGATGTTCCAGAGACTTTTGAGTGATACTTGACTTTTGATATTAACGATATTGCTGTCCAGGTGGAATAAAAGCTGAGTTGGTTTATTACAGGATGGGAATTGTAGTGCTTTCAGTGTTTTGTGTTTTGATTTGTCAGGTTATTAAATTGGCTATTTATGATCAAATGGGAGAATTGTAATGGAAAAATATGTTTGTTTTAAGCCAGTAATTCATGACATACCTTAATCAACCATTTTTCATGGCACCCTGAACAGACGTCCAGTTGCTTCATTGCTTTATTTTAATTTTCCATATCCTGGAAGACTGACAATTCACAGAAACATGTGATACTAATGTTGGTCTTGGACCTTATCGATACTAAAGTTATTTTCAGCACAATGCTTCTGTTCTATGAATACATGCTGCACCGGAGCAGCCATACAGAGGCAGGTTAAAATGTAAACAGCGAACTAAACAAGAATGTCAGATAATTATTTAACTGGACTCTGATTAAACAACTTTAGAATCTGCATGCTAACATGTAGCATCCATATTTACCTCTGGAAACAGCAAGCTGAATGTAATGTCATGTCATCTGGAGTCTGATGGAAGTCACATCGAAAATATAATGTGAACGTCCATGCAAAAATATCTGATTTGAGCAAAAAATCGGAGCTGAGCAATAAGACGTGTAGTGTGAACATAGCCATAGAGACAAATTAGATAAACAACCATCAATGCTCCCTAGTGACAATTTAGAATTATGAATGAACCTAACATGCATGTTATAGATCTGTGGTAGGAAACAGGAGCACAAAGCAATAATCCCACAAGTGCATGAGAAGAACACAAACTCTACACAAAAAAGTGAACTTGTGACTTACTTGGCAAGGCAAAAGTTTTGTATCTCTATTTCAGTGGGAAACTCACTGTCTGGAGTGGGTTTTTTTTCACAAGGAACAAACAAAAAATACACTAAGTGCACATAAATACAGTTCAATAACATAATTGGCTGTGCAAGGCTAAAGCAAACAAATATAGTTTCACAACAGGGCCTTTGATTTGTGGCCTTTAAAGTCTGGGTGGCACAAGGTAAGTCTGAAACTTATAAGTTAGAAGTCTTCAGGAAGTGAGCACTTATGTTGCATCTTTCTTTTCCCTTGGGGCATTTCGGCGAATCTTCATCTCCGTCAGCTGGATGTAGCGAATCGCATTCGTGTCTGTAAAACAAAAGCAAGAAAATTATTTCTTTCTGGTTCAGACAGGAAACAGTGCATCATTGTATTCAGAAATCTTTCAACTCAACTCCACTACCTGGGAAATGTTTAAAAAAATATTAGGAATGTTGTAATATTTTATTCAGTAGATTTTCAGTAGGTGTTCACTACAAAATATTGTATGTGTGCAAAAAGGGAGAGGAGGATGGAGAGAGGAGAGCAAAATGTGGAGGAAAGAGAGGACTAATAGACTGAACTATTGTAGTTGTAGGGGATTGTACCCAGTCATGCAGACTGACACAAGGAGCTTCAAAAATAAAAATAAACATTGTTACAAACAAAAGGAAAAAAATTGTATAGGTCTTCTGGACGGGTTCTTCTTTAATGAAACGTTTCGTCTCTCTTCCAAGAG